GTGTCTAATATAATTATTTTGATGGTCCAACAAAATTATTGTCAGATATTCATTGTCTGTATCCAGCAAAATTTTATATTTTTTAGCAAAATTTTTCCGTATAGAATTCTGTTTAATTAATAGTCCAGGATTTTCACAGCCAGTCAGTGTATTTAAAATAAGAAATACGAAAAGTACTTTAATTGTAAATACAGTAAATGAACGAAAGAGAAAGAAAATGAAACTTAGAAATAATGTGGAACGTATCGAATTCTATTCTCTGTTCTTCCGTCACGCATTTGTTAAAATCGTGGTCTCTCTTTGTATTTCCTTCTTTCTTGACAACGTTCTTCAATCTCTCTCTCCTCTACCATTGCTCATGATCCTCCCTCGGGATCCAACAGGTGGTACGTTGCTTCGTAACCGTCTGCAGTGTCCCACACATTGTGCCCACGTAATCGTGTGCCTATGGGTGTACCCTATGGGTACCGCATGTAGGAAATACTTTGACCCTTCATCCGTTTCACGTTCTCTCCATATGTATTCGTACGTGATCTTCGTGAACTCAGCAGGTTCCTTAAGGAATTTTTTTTTACATGGCCGGGATCTTTTTTTTTTTATAATTTGAAAGTATTACACAAGTATAGTCTTTTATTAAGTTGTACAGTCACAAATTTTATAATGGGCTAAACTTGGAAAATTTACGCGCAATCCTTTATCTTTGAGCTTGTTATACACATTCTTAATTTATTATCTTCACTCCAAGAACGTTATCTAATTTTTTTTCAGTCCCGACGATCTATCTTCAGCGTCTGCTACTTACACGAAGTTAATGATGTTTCTTATATAGCCAACGGCTTGGTTGAATAATAAATAAGACTTAAAGAAATATTTGCCTTCACGGTGTTTCACTTCGGGCTGATGCTTAACGAGGTGGCCATCCACGAGTCACCCCTGCGCCTCGCGTTCGATAAATCGCGTTAGCGCGCGCATAAGTTTTAATAAAGCTCCTCTCGCATGCGTGACGTTCAACGCGATCGACGTCCGGTGAATTTATAATATTGACATGGCAGCTGCCCACGCAGCAGCCCGAAGCGGAATTCGATGGAGGAACAAAATTTAAGAGAGAAAAAGAGAGAGAAAGAGAGGAAAGAGGGAAAAGGAGATAGGACGAGAGTGAAGCGTGTACGCAATATGTAAATCCGAAAGGCGCAGAGAATCTTCGTGATCTCTCTCGTTCGGGAATTACGCGCGTGTTTCTCGGCGTGCGTGCCTTCGTTGAAGTTGAACAGGGATACAGTTCCGACCGGGCTAAATCAGTGTACGGACCGGAGAGCGGATGTTAGGCAACACGAGTGGCTGGCAGGTGCCACGATGTGGGTGTCGTTTTACGCCAAACTCGAGAGAAAATGTGCGGCCTTTCGTTTCCTTCGTATCACCCATCTCTCTCTATCATTCTTCTTAACACGCGAGAGAAATGGATGATTTGAGAAGACTTCGTAACGTAGAAAGTCCATCCGCTTATTTTATCCATGCGAGCGAGCGCGGAATTTGGTATGCTACTCTTCTAAATGATTCATATTCTAAATTATTGTGTTATTATTATTGTTTAATGCAGGATTTATTTTATCAGGAATCTGCTTATATAGGCTTTTTAAAAGGAGAAAATTAATAATTAATATAATATATTATTATTATGATTAATATATTAATATGAATTACAATTAAATCTTAGTAGATACATGATTGGGTCTTGTACATATAATTTTCTTTTAAACAATAATTTTTTTTATCTAAAAATTAGGAACATCTAAATAATAATCTCTATATCTAAATAATAATCTCTACTTTCCTTTTTTAATTACACAATTCTAAAAATACTTTCTAAAAATGTTAGAATATAAAAATTACTCAATAATTTTACGTACAACTTGGAACACAAACGATTCATTGAAAAAATATTTGACTGAATTAATGGGATTTCAGTTGAAAATGAACAAATTTTTTCTGATTAAGCTTACTTGTAATTGAGGTAATTGAAATTCTGATTGATACAATCTTCTAATTCATCCATTTTCAATCAGACATTTTTTTAAAATACATACAGTAAAGGAGGTATAAACTTACCTACAATAAAGAGTCGGAAAATCATCGTATATACTAAGAGTTAAATATGATTCTTTGATATATTATTCAGAATGATTGAGAGAATAGATTTCAATATCATAGATTGCAAGTTTCCTTTACTGTGAATAATACTGCGAATTTTCTATGGTTCAGAATCACATTCAGTCTTCGATTATAATATCAATCATCTTTTATATCTATTTATTATATCCATCGAGAATCGATGTTCTATAGAGGCTTCTCTACGTTCCTATTCTATGACAAAATTTACAATTTCCAATAGCACTTTGCATCCGACCGGTGGTGATAAACATGAAATCGCGAATCCACATAAGTTTACGACGCGACACATCGTCCTATGAATCGCACGAACGTCTTAGTGACGCGATGCAAAAATTGCGCGGGTGGCCGCGTATATGCGATTATCGACGTTCGTCCCTCGTTGAGTGAGATATCGGGCTCGCATTCGCGTATCTTTCCGTAAACGTGCTTTCACATACGATCAACGGCGGAACGATTGTCGAGTTGGCATAAAACGATTCTGGCTCGATGACGCGACGCTATGCGACGCAATGCAATGCAGTACGTTCGTAGAACGGCGTGGGATCTTCGTGGTTTGTCGACCTCGAATAGCCAGATCTCTCGGTCACCTTCTCTGCAGTGCAGTGGGGATGGACGGGACAAGGTGGAAAATTTCCACGATGCCATATGCATACGCGTGCGCGTAAGTCGAGAGTAATAGTTTTCTCATTGAAAGAAGCCGCGAAGGTGAACCTGACGTTTGTCTTATTAGAGGAAATATATTAATGTCGAGGCGCATTACGTCGTACGTCTGCATCAACCTGTCGTGTCCGGGGCTCCTCGCAGAGTCACGCGTATTTGTGACGGACGAACGTACGCACGCACGCACGCACGCACGCACGCACGCGTGATCGCACCTTAACGAGTATTATTCAATAATATTCAAATTTAATGAGTTCCTCGTAAACAACATTAATGAACCCTATGGAATCGGGCGGTGCCGTCGGACCGCTAATTAAAATATAATGAGACGCGTAATTATTGGGGATCGTAAAGCATTCGCGGATATAACCGATGCGCACGTAGGACGTTTGTATCTGCGTGATGGATCGTGGTACGCCTCGACTGATGTACGTACAAAAGGAATACCGGGCTCGAAGGAAGGAGAATATCGACGAAAATGACCGTACGATGAAGGATTGTCCAAATTAGAGGCGAGACGTGAGCAACTCGAACGATTTCTCGTCGAGCTTGTAATTTATATTCAAATTGGTGTTAAATTATCAATGCCGGCTAATTACATCGATGTTGCTATTACAAGGATTTGAATTAATACATAAGTGAGAGTGGTTGGACGAGAGTGTAATTGGCAGCTGCGGATGAACGGGTTTTAACTGGATGCGCATCGACTGAACGTCACGTTTGAGGAAAATATTATATGAAACACTAATGGATGCTGACAGTTATAATGATAAGCCGAACGAGTTGTGAAACACGTAAATTTAATTGAAAAATGAAATAGAAGAAACGCGGTAGTTGTATTTTATTATTTTTTATGCACTTGTCGCACACGAAAAGGATGATTTTGCTGAAGAATAAAAATTTAGGTAGATACAGATTTAAAAATAATTTTGTTAGACTATTAAAATAATTAAGTGAGAAATTCAAGTATGGGCAATACTGCAAAAATTTTATTAATCAGTTTGAAAGTCCTACACAATTCTTTTGATAGACGATAAAATTATTCTCAGGTCTGTCATTTCTAGTTAAATTTTTAGATACATTAGCAAAATCGTTCTTTTTGCATTAATATTAATTAGGATGTTAATTGTCCGCGAGACGATTAATTGATCATTGGAATCTTGATGAAATTGATCGTTATGTACGTTTTGACACACCCTATATATTTTTGTCAACGATAAAAGTTTTATGAATTATAATCACATAAATACAATTATTTTAATAATTATAACTGAATGTAAAGTATTTCAATTTTTATTGCACCAAAATTTTATTATTGTCAGCAACATAAGTTTTTATTGAAAAATTATTTAAAGTGTTGAGTCATTTGCGTGATTATCTATTTATCCATTTATCAATTCGATTCGATTTTTACATCGAAAAGATTCGCAGAAAAATCGCAAGAAATATCATCGAACGGTCATTCTAGATGATCGAACGATGATCGAGCAAACGGATCTGCTCACGATCCATTCGTGCGGCATAGAGCGATCCGTCAAGATCTCTGCGTGGTGGATGACAGCAGATCGCGTTGAAACAATGAGGCCTTAAGCTGTCGGAGCAGATGGGAAGAAAGGTGGCGAGGTAAGGGAAGTTCTCGCGAATGTACCTGTACAATATGCATGGCGTGGGCGCAGACTGCCTGTCCATGTCTCAACCTGCTGAAACCCGTTTCGCGATGAGGCCTGACGAGGCCCTGCATACGTTGAGCACGTACGTCGCGTCGGTTGCGTCGGCTTCCGAGGACGACGGGCTTGTCGGGCACGCCGACTCTGGGGAAGATGTAAGAGCGGTAAGGCCCAGGATTCGTGAGGATCGGCGTCCGAGCATGACGGCGGCATATAAACCAGGATTACGGGAGACACGCGGAGCCGTAATTCTCAAGGTCCGACGCCTCGCCACCGTGGGGTTCGCTGAAGCCTTGTCTCGGCGTTAAAACGCGCTTAAAACCGCCTTGTCTCCCCTCCTTCTCATATTTTTTTCCTCTTTTTCTTCCTCTGCTGCACCCAGTTCGAACCAGGGGCCAGAATTGTGCCCCGCAAACGAGATCTGATATCTGCGCATACCATCCGTACGGGAATCAACCTTCCGCGTGCCTTCAGCAACAGTGTTTCATTTTGTAGCGATTTGAGAGAGCCGCCACTTCACCAGCAGCGCGCATAACGCGTCTTGTTCCGATACTGAGATGCGTTAAAAATCGTGCATCACGCGATGTCTCCGGAGCTGACATCGCGAAAGTTTCGATCCCCGCATGAACGACTTCTCGCACACTTCTCTTATAATTTTTTTTATTTTGCACTTCGGAGTCTTTGTCGCCCGATATCAAAACACGCGACACGCAACGCCCAACACGACGGAGGTGGGCTCGAAGTACTCGGGATCAATGTCAAGCTCATCACAATGTATTCGTACTACAACTGCCGCTTCGTTTCTGTTCAAGAAATTACAATCTCACGAAAATCGTGACACGGCGACAGTTAAATGGGCTTCGGAGCGAGACTCAACCGAGTCTGGTCCTCGTGTCGCAGGGAATATATTTTGCTCGCACCGTGCCATTCTGGGACGCGTCTTTGTGCGATCTTTTTCCATGGCGCGCCGAAATTACGAGAGCTCGGAGGGGGCACCGGGGCCCGACGCGGGTGTTTTGACGGCCGCGGTTCATGATGAGGTCAGCCGGTCTCGCTTTCTCGAAAGGCGAGTCTCGTCGCGCTTCAACTCGCGAGAAACGGGCCTCGTCTTCCCGTGTCTCGCGGCGAACGGCGGTGATGGAGAGAAGAAGCGGGAGGACGCAGCCTTAAGCTCGTAATGACCCATCTCCGACAAATTACCACTCGAGTGGCATTGTGTGCGAGCCCCGGGCCGATGCACCTTCTTCTCTACCTCCTCCACCCATCCTCGCCCTTAGGTCGCGGACCCATTGACGCACGTTGCGTTTGATTTTAATGTCTACGTGTTGCACCGCGCCACGTTCCCACGTCGCCTGCGTTGTCATTACGTAACGATGCAATGGTGCTAATTTCTCCGAGGTGGAGTCTTGTGCGACATGTTGCTGCATCGCGTCTATCTACGTGATGTAACATGAGAGAATGTACCGTGGAGGAAGTAATTGGCGAAAAAAAGCTCGGTCCATCTAGACAAGCGGCTTCGTACATATTAATTAGACCGCAATTATTATTTCTTTCGTGCTTTTTTTCTCTGTTTTATTGAGAAATATAATGCAATAATAATAAATATGGAATAATAATAATAATAAATATAATGAGATAGAAAATATAGCTGCTTATGATATTGCTGAAGTGTAATGATTAGTTATTAATTTCTTATTCATAACGAGCTACAATAAAATTATCATAAAATATTAATAATGCGGAGAATTTATTAAACATAAAACTGATTTTCTGTGATACGGGCGATACATCGTTGAAAAAATTAGCAAGATGAGCACGAGCAGCATTTAAGAGAAAAATTTAAGTTCATGCAAAATTTTACGAGAAGGAAGAACACACGACTGGCGAACACTTTTGGGCGCCATATCCCACACGCTGCTTTGCATATCTAATGAGCGGTCACTTGTGTCGAAATTTATGGTAATCCATGCATCTTCTCGGTGAAATTAACGGCAATTTACCAACCGTAAACGAGATGCATGTTTCCGTCATCTGCATTCTTTCATTGTACAACCGTTTATTAATGAGATGTACCAATCGCGATTTCATATCGTCATTACATAAAAATCAATTTACATTTTTAAAAACCGTGAAATACATATATCACTTTTGTCGTAAAAATTCTCGTAATTATGTTTGATTCTAATAAAATATGATTTATTGACACGGACTAACTTATAGTTATATTTCAGTTTTAAGTGGATTCACACTGGAAAAAATATTCTGGTTACACCAATAAAAAGTACAAACAAAATGAATTCTGATTATATGGATCACATTTTTGATTATTGTAAATTAATTTCTGATTATCTCGACTGGAATATTTGATGATAGCTTTAATTATAAATGTCTAATTTTTGATGGAATTTGCCAGCATTCCGATTAATGCAATGAAACTTTTTTCCAGTATAAATAATTTCGCATTAAATGAATTCGCATTAAATGAGTGAGAGATTACTCATGATTTTATTGGAAAAACGTAAAAAAATTTTTATAAAACGCGGCTTACGTTGTACACGGATTGCAGTATATGCGGCGAGAAGGGTTAATTGAGAAATATTGACATGCACATCAGGATACAACGAGGAGCAACAAAAAGCGCGAGGAGTCCACTCGCACGATAAATACCATCGCGGCCGAGAAATTAGCCATAAAATCGGCGTCCTCGCCGCGTGCAGTGCTACACGCACGATGCCGGCCTTAAGTCACTTAATTCCGTTCGTAACTCACCTGTTTTCGCGTGTATCGCCCGAAATTTTAACTTATGCCGGCCATTATCCCACCACTATACTACGTAACCGTTCCGGGAGAATAATTGTCGCGCCTGCGGTAAGACGGGAGGCGCGGAAGCTGACAAAAATATTCGCCACGCGTGCTTTCGACTGATCGCGAAAGTTTTGTCCGATTTGGTATCGAATTAGCGAGAGTCACATGGTCAATAATCGATCAGCGGAGTGGAGAAGCGCTCGTTTGAAAAGAAAGAAAGAAAGAGAGGGGGAGAGGAGTAGACGTGATTTTTACGAGATTGCAAATAAACCGCGTCGTGAAGTTGCGGTACAAAAACGGAGAACGGAATACGGAGAATGGAATATGGAGAGGAAATTCCTCCGCAGAATTCTTTTTATCCTTTAACGTGGCGAAACAGACTCTCTCCAGGCATTTTACGTTCGTTATGAGGCTGACATTGTTATTTCGCGTAATTCACGAACCGCCCATAGTTCGCCGGGTCTCGATTGCAAGACAGGGGAGGTTTACTCTTCCCATCGTGGAGGATATCGACAGATTAGAAATGCATTTGGCGGAGTGACTAGAATGCGCCGGGTCGCGCCGGTGCATGTCGTGGTATGCGCGTTGCGCTCGCGCGAGGAAAATGCAGTTGAATCATCGACGGGCCACGCTCCGCCTCCATCGCTTGCCGAGCTTGCGAAACGCAATTTCAATGAACATTTTTTGATTTATTGCACTCCGGTGTCCCCGTCGCCGCACGGTTATCGCTGCATGCGAAATTCATGGTTTCATTGTGGGTGACTCGTTTCGTGAATTTTTTATTGGGAATGAATATATCGAATACGCGAAATGATATATATTTGCTGAATTTACCAGAATTGACGATTGCGCAATCTTATGTCATAGGAAGATAAATGATGTTGCGCTTGTAAGATAAGATTTTTCTGATATTTTTTTTATTTTGTATTATTATCAATATATACAACAATTACAATTATTGATATTTTATGTATTTTTAATATTTTTATGTATTTTATGTATTTTTGGTAAAATATCAATAAAGAATCATACCTCGTTTTCTTATTTTAAAAGTAACATAAAAAATTAAGTTTCCTAGAAAAGGAGGAAACTATTATTTAATTTGACAAAAAATTATTAATTAATCGAATAATATTATCAAAAGAACATATTCTTAACACAATCAGTTATTGATTTTTTCATTTTAGTTTTGCAACCTTTAAAAAATTATTTTTTTTAGTTATGACAATTTTAACAACAAGTTTATCTTAAAAAATTATTCTTTTTAAGTGACGATTTTTATGAAATTAAATTAGATCACTTTTTGATGATTGAGAATAATGTTTGCTTAACTCATTCATGTTGATAATGAAAATCACAATTTTTTCTTGTGTCGCTTTTGAAGAAAGAAAGTGACATATATATTTTTGTATAATCGGATTTTATTTGAAAACATGATTCTCTCTTGTAAATCAGAGAGAAATAAGATGAAAAATGAAATATTCAGAAGAACAGAAAGAATTCATTTTTTATAATTTATTTAAAATATAGGCCACAGATCGAATCATCTTAATTGCTGGATAATATGTAGGTAGCGGAACAAATTTTACCTAATACAGGCTCGACGTCGCTTCTTCTAAACAGGCTTCGAATTCTGCTGAATAAAAAATGAAAATGATATTCAGATTGGCAGTTTCACGTCATCTTCTTCGCCGTCTGGTCGCGGTCTCCGACGCCCACGCAATCTCTCGAGAGCGCGGGTTTACAGGTGCGGCCGGCAACCTGTATCTTCGGTGCGTACGTGCGTGCGTGAGCGTGCTTGAGCCGCACGAACGAACATTCTAAGGCACGCGTAGATTACGCACGCGTGATATACCCGAGGGTCTCGTTACATTTCGAGAAGTCGGGCGACGACGCCGTTTCGACTTTCACGTCGGAAACGCTTGACTAACAACACGTGAATGTCACGTGCTTAAAGTATGTACTGTAAGATATTCATTGTAAATGAAGTATCTTAGATGTAAAGCGAGATATATATGAGTAATAATCGATGGATAATATGAAGTCAGAAAGAAGGGCGCTAACAAATCGCCGATAATTTTAATTAGAGAATGTAGTTTATATATAGACTTTATATATAGATGCAAAAATTTAAATATACGTGGTACAACAGTATTAACTTTATTATACGATATATATATTATACGCTCCAAGAACTACAGAACCACTAAGAGAATAATCGAGTACCATAAAATCAAAATATAAAACGTTGCGGTTGAAAATGTTGCTGCAACATGTCGCGTGAAACTATCTTGAAATTTTTTATAATAATTTATAATAATAATGAAACTTTGCACACATTTCTTTTTTTAATTTTTTTCGCATCTCTGATGATAAAGGTATAAGTATGTCGCTCCACGCGCGATTCGTGTGGCGTCTGGCGACGGTGCCTAACGTGATTAAGTAACTACCAGCCGTAAAGCCGCGGCGGGATAATCTGTATGTGTCCGTGTATATATATGTATGTAAACGCATAAATTGCTGGATATTTAAGATAGCGTGGCATTATTCGGATAGCTCTGGTGATGGCCACGTGTAAGTTACTGCCGGGCCACCTAGGCGGACCACTGGCCACGCCTCGGCCCACCAAAACGGTCCTTTATAGCCACAAGCATGGACACAAAATGCACGTTTTATAGGGACTGCATGGCTGAAACGAGCGGATCGACGCGTGCGACCTATCACGCTCTATCGAGCTCGTCTTAGATTAAAAGGGAAATCGACGTGCCGTTCTATTTCCTCCCACTTCTAGACATGATAGACGCTTTTATGGAGACACGATGGTGGTCCACTATCTTCTCTTTCTCGATAGCATGATATCTTCCTTATTTTTTAGAACCAAGCGAGATGCTTGTCGTTAACTTCGTATTACTGACATCGACAAGGTATCTAGTAAAATAAGATGAACGATATGTGATGTCTGGATAAGTATATTTGTACTGCGCCACATCTAAATATTATAATTTAGATGAATCTTAATGTAACAGTAAAACGCAATAACATTTAAAACATTCCTATCATATATGAATCACATATTTGAGATTTTTATTACAGCTTAAATTGAAATTACAAATATCTTACAGTTTCACTGGTAAGATATTTATCTCTCCTAATTTTACTTAATTCAAATTTTACTTAATAACAAATAAATTGATTTTACATCGACATTGTAAGTTTACTGTTGTCAATGTAAATCAGAATTTAAAAAGAGACATCAGTAATTGAACGCATCTTACAGTCAGCGTAATTAAATCAAATTGTACAGATTTAAAATCTTAAAAATAAAAAATAAAAATAAACAATCTATACAAATGAGAAGTTCAATATAATATGTCCATAAAGCTTTGAAAGTTTATATTAACTAATTCTCGTTTGAGGTGAGTTGCTGGGATATGATTTTTTTTTTATTGACTCA